GGGAATAGACAGACAGGTGATGTGGGATAGAATGCTATTCTTGACGAGAAACATAGTGAGGAACACTTCGATCCACTCCCCAAAGGACCACCAGGCTCTGTACCTCGCATCATTGAGTTATCATGACAGATAACAGACATTTTTATGTCTTTAGGTATCTAGAGTCTCGACCTGACAGGACTTCTATCCTCCAGGGACTGGCATAGCAGTTTCCCTCTAACTCTAAAAGGTCTAAAAGTTCACCACAAATCCAGAGTCCTCAAACTAAGACTTAGTCCCTTTCTGTGAAAAATATAATAATCCACTCAGGCCGATGGATGGGTTTCACTGACTAATTAGCTATTATACAGCAGATCCTGATCATTGTTAAGTGCATTATGTTTTCTATATCAATTCAAGTTAAAATGATTGGAGGAAGTGTTTAGATCTGATGAGAAGTCCATAGGAAGCTGAAAACCGTAACCTGAAGCTCCCATATCTTAGTAGCTAAAAGTCTCATCATCGAAAAGGGACACACTATCATGGTTCATCAAAAAGCTTTTTAATTGTGCTGCTAAGTGCTGTCAGCAATTCCGTTTTTTTTCTCTCTAATGAGAATTTGATGAGTGAGGAAAAAGCAAGATCACTTATCGAAAGCTTTATGCTAGCTGTTGTTGAATATACAGTTTTGTCCAGTGATGCCTCCAAGCATCACTGGGAGCATTAAGATGGGCTTGTCAGTGATAGATTATCGAAACTCAGGAACCCATCAGGCACATCTTGACGAGTCAGGTGAGGCATCGGGACATGACCGGGCTTAACCGCATTAGCGGAACGTTCCCTCGCCGTTGGGATCTCAAGCTCTTCTCGAACCTGACAAATCACCCTCACGTAGCTCTTAGCATGTTTAACAAAACTACGTTTTTCTTTTAAATATTTCTAAATAGGGTTTTCCTCCCCTTTTTAACCTTGTTTCAGGAGCTCCGTGCCAAATCAGATCAGCATCAACTGCTAACGTTTCATGACTTTCATGACACATCTCCATAAAAATGTGCTAAACACTAAGCTGCCCAGACACCTTAAGGTTTGATTCCATTTAGATGTGGAACAAGATTGAGGGGGCAGAAAAGAAGGGGCTGAATACTACACACCTCTCTGTGTCTGAGAGTAATATGCTAACACATTAGACCCAGTCAGCCTGTATAATCCAATGATCGACAGCACTGCATGGTGTTTTAATATCTCTCCGCTTCTGATTGTTATTCCAAAAGCTCTTCAATACTTCTTTCTCTTCCTCCCTCTTCACAGTGATAACAGCATGTTGGCTGAATAGGCTAGCCTTGGAGACTGGTCATAGTAACACAAAGACTAATTCAAACCCTTTTCACACTAGTTGCTGGAACCATATCAGAGCCAGTATGGTTCCGGTTGCCACGATAGTGTGAAAAGGGTACTAGAGATGCTCTGGAATGGTGTTCTGATTTGGAATGTGGAATGTGGGCACTAACTAACCAATCACACTTGTTTATGCCTCTTTAACAGTATCTGACGAGGTTAACCCCCACCTCACCCCCAGCACAGAAAACATGGAAGGTAAGCACTAACCACCAATCAGGGCGTATGGTTCATCACCACCGCCACTGAACCGGCTAATCGCACGTCACTTTGGAATAACAAGCTCATCTCTGATTGGCTCGTCTTTTTGCGTTGGAGTCAGAGGTCAAGAGAAGGGATTGGGAAAGGGGCGGTATTCTTATTGACCCCTGCTGTCTCATAAAGGGTCACTTTTGTGTTTTTCTCTTCGCTCTTTGTCTGATTATTCCTTGGCCAGAGAAATTTATAATGACATTTGAGGTAATTGCAGTGAGTAAAAAAAGGGATTTCATATTTTGGAGAGAGAGAAAAAGAGAGTGGCATGGTGTTGAATAGAGGTTTGGCAGCAGTTGTATGAAACGTTGCCACCATGCTTGTTCTCTAGTGACTATGATAGAAGAAAACATTCATTATGCTGAAAGGTGTGGGGTAGGGTTGTGAGGAGAGAGGCAATGTAGTTCCATTTGAAATAGAGATGCTCAATGCCAGTTGGCCTCTTTAGCTGAATGGAATTAATCCATCAATGACAAGCCAGTGTGTCCTCACCTTCTATTAGAACGGGTCTGCTACAACATGTGTACTCACCAGGCACAGAATGTGTTGAGAGCTGAACAATGCAAACAGCACTTTTACGAAACAGCAGCCAACGTCTGTTCTATCTCCTACCTATTGCACATTAGTGAAATAAATACAAGTGATTCACTGAATGATCAGTACAGGATCACAGCCTAACTGCAGGTAATCTATACTGAACAAAAATATAAATGCAATATGTAAAGTGTTGGTCCCATGTTTCATGAGTTGAAATAAAATATCACAAAAAAAAGAAGAAGCTAATTTCTCTCCAATTTGTGCACAAATTTGTTTACATCCCTGTTAGTGAGCATTTTTTCCTTTGCCAAGATAATCCATCCACCTGACAGGTGCGGCATATCAAGAAGCTGATTAAACAGGATGATCATTACACAGGTGTACCTTGTGCTGGGGACAATAAAAGGCCACTCTCAAATGTGCAGTTTTGTCACACAACACGATGCCAGAGATGTCTCAAGTTTTGAGGGTGTGTGCAATTTGGTGGGCCTATGCCCTCCCAGGCCCACCCATGGCTGCACCCCTGCCCAGTCATGTGAAATCCATAGATTTATTTCAATTGACTGATTTCCTTATTTGAACTGTAACTCAGTAAAATCGTTCAAACTGTTGCATGTTGCGTTTATATTTTTGTTCAGTATATGACTCAGCTATTTTGACGTAGAGTATTGCTCTCATGTCCATAGAAATAGGACACATTCTAGTTCTGTGCTCACGTCACCACCACCACCAGCACCACCAATGTCATGGCTACTTAGCCAAACAATGACAATGCCTCTGATTGAGATGTTGAGTCACAGTAATGATAATGGGGACAATAGGATACATGTAGAACAGTGTGGATTGGAGGATATAGGACGTCCTCTGGTCCTCCTAATGAAACAGGTTTGTGTCCCAAATGGCAACCTGTTCCCTAAATAGTGTACTACTACTTTTATAGGGCCCTGGGTGGGAATAGGGTGCCATTATATAGGGAATAGGGTGCCATTTGGGACGCAGCCCCGAAGTTGGCAGAGACAAGGAGCCTGGTCAACCCAGGGCCGCATCTCTTCCTAAGGGATACCAGGACATGGCCTCGCCACGCCACCCTGGGACTATTTTTAGCTTAATTACCCTTTTAACGCTGCACATTAAACCCTCCACACACTGAATACATTAGGCATAATGGAGCCCCCGTCCCTGCTGTCCTCCCCGTCCATACAAAAATCTTTACATGCAAGGATGGAGTGGTTGTGAATAATGGTGGTGGGAGCATTGCTTTAGCTCCTTGGCTGCTTCCCAAATGGCACCATGTTCCCTATGTAGTGCACTACTTTTGACCAGAGCCCTATAGGCCCTGGTCAAAATGTGTGTACTAAATAGGGAATTAGGGTACCATTTTGGACGCATCCATTGTAATTATACTATGGAGCTGCTGGAGCTACTACCGTAATAACCGCTAGTGATTTATTTATATAGTTTGCAATACCTCCCTTTAACGCTTAATGATCATCGCTCTTCTCCTGGTTACCTTTGGTTTCGCCTTATTACTGTAAGAATATATTGCACATTCATCTTGGTCACTAATATTTGCTGGTGCGTTGTGGCAGTTTTTTAAAGTGTGTGTCGCATCTTTATGCTTCCCCCTATTTCTCCTCTGAACGTGCAGTGAGTGTCATACCTGTGTCGGTTTGCGATAGGGAATATGTATTATTTCTTACCCAATGAGCAGAAGACGTGGCAGCGTGGGTTGGTTGGGTGATAGGACCTGGCATATTGAGAGCTGTCAGTCAAAACCTCCCTGGAGAGGTTCTGAGAGATTCAGATGAAAACAAAGGCAAAGGCACAGACCAATCAGAGGCCTCTGTGCTTCTCCCAGACAGTAGCACTACACACCGCTCTAGACCAGAGGACAGTGATGCCTGATTCAGAATACGAAAGGGTGATAATTCCCAGATTCGGAGAACGGCAGATGAGAGAGAGCGGCAGATGCCATTTGTGTTTCCATAAACTGTTGTATCCGTCCGTGGGTTTATCCCCCACAATCCTATTGTGTCAAACATGCACCCGCCCGGCTTCGGTGTGTGCTCTATTCTGTTTGTCTGGATTTATGCATAAGCTTCCAAAGCCTCACATTTACATGGCATTTGGAGTATGTTGATTAAGGCACATCCTCCAGCACATGGAGAATTATGCCACGTCCTTACCGGAGGCTGCAATTTCCTGTTATTCCTGTTTTGTATGTCCGCCTGTCCTCCCATGTCCTTCATCTGACATGAGTGATTATTTTGAGAAATGAATCCAGATGATTTCCCCTTCCACCCAGGTGGTACGATAAGATGAGCAAATATCCTTCATTGTCATATAAAATGAACTCAGTAATCAGAGATGTGCCTTGCTTTCCTGAGGAACAACGCAGTTAAATGGCTGTCCTATTCCCGGTGGTGCTTCACAAAGGTGCCTGTAACCCTGCTGACATTTCAAACACACTGTAAAGTTCTGTTTTACTGTCTCCATCAGCTGGAAGATGTGGATCCACTTACTGGTCATGTTTCATCATACAATTGCTCTTCCTTTAAGCATGCATCTGAGTGGTTAGCAGTGTGGCCCTCTGGTGAACCTACTGGCGCTGGTCACAAGTAGTGCACTATATAGGGAATATGGTGCCATTTGGAATGCATCCATGTATCTGAGTGGTTGGTAGCATGGTCCTCTGGGGCCTGCTGGGAACAGGAGTCTTTATTAGCTGTGACAGGGTTATTATGGAGAGCTGTGGACAGGCCTCAGCTTATACATACAGTAACAGCTAACGGCTGACCTCGGTACAGCCAGTTTGGGGAGCAGTGACCCCTGGACCAATGGATCCAAGCAGCGCTGAGAGACAGGAGAAACACATCTCTGTCACAGTAAAGGTCAGAGGTTAGTGGCTTGGATGACCAGACCATCTGTGGTTGTGTTAAATTTCACCCCCTAGTCTAAAAAACATGTTATAGGATGCCTCCCAAATGGCATCTGATTCCTTATATACTGTAAAGTGCACTAATTTTGACCTGGGCCAAATGGAAAAGTAGAAAAACAAACTAGTGCACTAAATATGGAATAGGTTGTCATAGTGCACGGTTCTCGGCTAATCACGAACGTAGCCACTGCATGTTTACTTGGCTAAAGGATCGAGTAGAGGTTAGCAGCCTGGCGCTTTCAGACAGTAGAAGACGGGCTTCTGAAGCTGCTACTGCTTGTGAAATAATGATAACAGTAGCAGGCAACACATATGGATTACTGTACTGGGCTGGCATGGTGCCTTCTATATCGCCTGGAGTCCTTTAGACTTCCTCTCCTTCTCCCAATCTCCCCACTCAAATCACCTGTAATTACTTCACAACCAACCACTCTACTCCTCTCTGACTTATAAATGCTTTTCAGAGGGGGTATTCATTCCATAAGAGGGAGAAGGAAATAGATTCGTAATTGTTTTCTTTCGGTGATGGGGGTTTATTTTCTTATCCCTAATCTGTGTTTGGCTTCGTGTCTGTTCATCCACAGATCCACTGTGAGAGCTCAGCAGCAACAGGCCATGCTCCATTTAGGGCCTTTAAAACAAGTCAGGGGTGTTATTGATGACTGATGGAAACATGGGGGGCAGTAGGCCGAAACGAGACCACATGGTAGCTACAGGCCTCAGAGGTGGAGAAGGGAGGGATAGAGGGAGGGAGGGTGGAGAGAGAGAGAGAGAGAGAGGGGGGGGGGGGGGGGGGGGGGGGGTCTTGTTGTTTACATGAAGCAAAGCTGCATGGAACATGGCAGCACATGCTATGTGTGTTTTGGACCTGAGGGGTCTAAACAGACAATGCTGGTCTGTGGGCCTCATTCCCATATGCACAGTCCTTAGAGTCCTCAGCTTCCACTGAACAGTGATCAAAACCCAGACAAGACTAATTCAATCAGCAGTTTATCAACTATCTATTAACTGTTTCCTTGTTCAAAGTTCCTTGTTAACACAGCTGGTTAGAAGCAGATTTAAAATCTATTCTGTTTTGTTGGAAGATGGTTGTTAATGGTTAATGCAGCACAACGAAGAATAAGTGAATGGATGGGGACAGAAAATCTAAATGTCTGCTTGTTTAACATGGCTATCTGGTGAGGCCAGAGCTCTGGGGAACTGACTGACGCCACCTGACAAAATGAAATACCAATACCCTCAGTCTCGCTCCACTTCCATACCCTAAACAAACGCACAGCAGCCATTGGAAAAATAATGATAGCTGTCTAAAGGTTTATTCCAGAGGTAGACAAGAGGTTGCTGTCCAACACTCAATCTGCTATCTATCTACAGATCTGGCGTCTTAAGAGCATATCTATCAGTAAATCTGGTGCTAATGTCAACAGTTTTCTAAGTGGTGGTTATACCTGACAAGAACAGCAAATAAAAGGACGTTTTCATATTGTGCCATACATACAATCTCCTTTTAGAGTTACTTACAATAGACAGCCCGTCTTCTGCAGTGGTTGTTTATTTATCATTTGCATGTCAATGACATACATTTGGCATGAACGGGATCCATTATGAAGCATATTTCAATGAAATTAGTTGAACGGGGCCACCCGTTTTGTGCCATCCGTAATTTAATTCTGTAGACTGTGATGTCATACTTCTCTCACCTCTTTTTCTTTCTTTGTTGTGTGTGGTGTGGTGAGGAGGAGGTAGGTTACTGGTGTTGACATGAGTTTGTAAAGATTCCATACACATGTTTATCTCTACTAGATCTAACAGGTAGCTGGTGTTGGCAACAGTTTGGGAATCTCTGTGTTCTAAAAGGCCCACCTGGCTATAGCTAACATTCTCTCTATACAAGAGCAATCCCATTTTGGGTATGGCGTGGTGTGTGACCCTGCGTTGATATTCTGTTATCTACCATCTGCACAACCTTAATCTTCTCGTTTGAAGTGAGGCTGTTTGTGTCCTTTAAAAGCCTCATTGCGAAGGGCTTTAAACAACGGATTAGACGCATGAAAGGCCATTCCGTGGATGGTTCAGAGTAGTGACATCAAGGAGGACACGGCAGTAGGAGGTGAATGGGCTGTGTTTAGTCTACAATACTTCTGATTTTTCTAACGCTTTCTCCCTTCTCCCCTCTAACTCTGCATTCCATCCTCACTCCCACCCCTATCTTTGCCCTGTTATCTTCTAGATCAGAGTGATGTTATGTTAATCTAATTTATGTTCTGTAAACCATGGCTGCTCACTCTTGCCTACAGTACTGTACACACTTTAGTATTAAGACATTTGGAAGCTCTCTGTGTTTGAAAGTGTAGTCAGTTTACACGCACACATTTCAGGCACATTACACAGTCTGAAAAACATTGTCAAACATTGTTGAAATGAGAACAAGGGTTTACTCTGTTTTCTATTTGTCTTGCTCCTACAAAGATAGATAAATATACCCTCATAATGTTTCACGCACTCCATCGGATAATTTATTTTCGAAATGAATTCCCACAAGCTATAGCCCATCCCTCTTCTCTTATGGTGAATTACAGGGTTTTACATCATCTGATTTTCTTTCGGTCTTAGGAAACTAGGAAAACCGAAATGATTTATAGCAATCAGAGTTCAGCGTAGAATATAGAGTTTCAGGACACATTTTCAGAGAATGAATATCACACATCATTAAATCTTTGTCTATTTCCTATATAGTGCACCACCTTTGACCAAGGCCGTATGGATAAGGGTGCCATTTAGGACACCACCGAACTCAATTGTTCTTAGACCTATATTCTGACTTCTCCTTTATCAGACTCTTCAACAGGAGAAGCAGTAGGACCCTCCCTGGGCCTCAAGAAGTCCTATAAAGATTATATAAACTTATGTAGGGCATTATGAGTCTTTATGTCATGCATAGGAATGCTTTATGAATGCTACATATCGCCACTCTAAGTCAAGTGTTACCACTTCTCCTTCCTTAGGCTCTTCGACAGGAGAAGCAGTAGGTCCCTCTCTGGGCCTCAAGAAGTCCAGCTCCCTGGAGAGCCTCCAGACTGCTGTTGCCGAGGTTACACTCAACGGGGAAATGAACCTCCACAGGCCACGCCCACGTATCATCAGGGGGCGGGGCTGCAACGAGAGCTTCCGGGCAGCCATTGACAAATCATACGACAGGCCAGGAGTGATCATTACTGCTAAGGAAGAGTGTGACCCGAAGGGAATGGAGACATGTGAGTATTAATTGTTAAGACTGTAAGACCTTGTTTTTATAAAGCATAACACATTTTGTGTATGCTGTAGTTTATAGACCTTGGTTCTATTAAGCAAACCTATGTTGTTTCTGTAGTTTATGGTCAGTGTTAAATAAAGTAACTGGCCGATATTTCCAAAATTAGACAATTAGAATATAGAAGGAGGATCTACCCATATAATTAAACAATAAGGCCCGAGGGGGGGGTGGTATATGGACAATATACCATGGCTAAGGGCTGTTCTTACGCACGACACATCGCGGAGTGCCTGGATACAGCCCTTAGCCGTGGCCATATACCACAAACCCCAGAGGTGCCTTATTGCTATTATAAAATGGTTACCAACGTAATTAGAGCAGTAAAAATACATGTTTTGTCATACCCGTTGTATACGGTCTGATATACCACGGCTGTCAGCCAATCAGCATTCAGGGCTCGAACCACCCAGTTTATAATTACATATAGAACATTGATTTAGTAGGATCTCTATGGATCCACCCCTCACTCAAGTTGTGTAGGTTTTCTCTTATACATTACTTAGTGAGAGGCATGCAGAAGGGAATAAGCATCCAATCAGCATCTACATCCCTTTTCCATTAATATGCACAGGGTTAGTGTAGTGTCTTCCCTGAGGGCTCACAGCCATTTAAACTGCATTGCCGTTTATTCCAAGCAGACTACAAACAGAACAAGGAAAGCTCTTCCATTGTTTGCCAACAGAACACACGAGTACTTCATCTTTGCTTTTTGCATCTTACTTATGGTCCTGGATGTTTTGTGTTCTAAACTTTTATATATGTAAGTTCTTATTTTTTTTCTATGTTGTGTCTAGATTCAGAGTATATTCTTTATTTTGGGATTCAATAGAAGTTTGTCATGATGTTCTCTAACGGTTCATTTTTGTACATAATTTTTTTCTTAGTGTCATAACACATTGGTGCAGGTAAATATGTCTTACTCACATTGAATAGAAACTGGGTTTTTGAATTCTTTACATACTCTCTGACTGTACGGCCAAATGTATTGACTAAAATGGAGACCAGAAAAAAATTAAATTCTCAAAGTATTACCTAGTCTCCTGCTTCCCTTTGACTGAGCACGTCAATTGGCAGGTGTTTCATGACACAAAGGCATGCATTGGAGATAGAGGCAGGGACGTGTTACATTCCTGAACAGGTAATACCCTGCAACGCCACCACAGTAATCACCAGATATATTTTTCATTAATTCTCTATGAATGGATTCCATTAAATCAACCCGGGGAAATTTGAAAAAGAGGGGAATTATTTGCATGGAATTATTTGAATCTCTTTGTTCTCATAAGCTCTGTCTGCAAACCACTAAATGCTGTCTTATCTTGCCTAAGAAAAAAATTGGGACAAGCTCTACGATTTCCTCCTTCCTTTCCTCTGCCGAGGAATGTTCTCTCTTCTCCCATGAAATTCAAATAACTCTGATTTTATATGATATCATATCATCACAGGGTTTAATAGTCAAAGTTGACAGATAAGCCCTTCGCTTTTCCTACAACCTACACTTTTATTTACATAAAATGAGAACGTGTCCCCACAAGATATCCTGCCAAGCTACTACATTCCCTTATATATGTTATCAGGTGTTTAATGTTTCTAAACAGAGATTCTGAATTGAAATCCCCCTATATTGTATATGTTGAAATGAGCCTAGCAATTTTCCATTTCAGTCAGAACTCTCATTCACACACGCACTGAGATGAATGCCCCTTTTCACTATTGAAATGGAGAGATTTAATGATACTCTTTGATTGTAGTGTCAAAACATTTGCTGTGTGCGGCGGGCGGGCGTTTCTAAGATCGTTTTAATTGCCACTATTCAATTCACTTTTCTGTGGACTCCCTCCTGCAATCTGAGCTTGGCAAGTACCTAAACTTTTATTTTCAGAGGCTTTTTGATTGTAACACCATAGATTTCTTGCTGTTTTGCCTCGACTCATTCATGTCAGTCTTTGTGTGGCTAATGAATGAAGCTTGTGAAATTAAGTGCTCTATCACGTTCAGACCTTTATCACGGTTGATTTCTCTCTTTCAACGTTTTTTGGCAACAGACTTTTAGTGGGCTGCTTGATCAAAACAAACCAAGTATTTGCCTAACTCACGCACGTGCACACACACACAGTGTTTTACGTTCCCCCAGGAGGGCCAGTAGGATTACAATCTTTAGTGTGTTATCAGTGACAGCGTCATTAAGAGCCTCTAAAATTAGTGTTGTTGCTAATCTCAGCCATATTAATTGCCAAGATGCAGCTCAGTTCTGAGATATGCCGCGTTTGCACTTAACGAGATGATAAGCACGCCACAGAATGAGTGATAGGAGTGATATCTGTCCAGACCCTGTTAGTCTTATCATATCCCAAACTGGGGAAAGGCGAAAAAGAGGAGGGAAGATTATTTATTTATTTAGCATAATTGAATAGGTTTAAACCACTAAATTCAGCTTGCTCTTCTTGTCATACACCGCCTCATGGTGAGATTTCATTTCAGCAATTTCCTTTGAGATGAATGCAGAAAGCAACCGCTGATAACTTGACGGAACAAGAAGAAAACAAATCCTTGGCGCTTTATCCTTTGAAATGTGAACCAAGGCTGCGTACCAAATGGCACCCTATGGGCCCTGGTCAATCGTAGTGCACTACATAGGGAATAGGCAATCATTTGGGATGCACCCCAATACTTTTCAATCACCACAGCACAGTCAGTCTCATCTCATCTAGCTATGCTAAAAATCCATCAAGGACTTCCCTTTTTTATTTTCCCGATAAGCACCTTTCTTTCTTTCTTTTCCCGTCAAAGCCAGCCAATCAGGCACGTTAATAAAGCCTAATCCCAGGGCCATCTACCTCACGTCTCATTGTGACAGATATACCACCGTAGGCATGCAGCCCATTGGAGGAGAACCCAGGCTATTTGCAATTAAGATCCCCATAGGCCTTCTCAGAGATTATTTAAATGTAAATTAGTGACAGATTAATTACAGACACGCTGCAGTGTAGTAGAAACCTTGAGTATAATCAACTCAGTGTCACTGAAGACGGTTCATTTCAATGTGGAGGTTTTCTTGGATGATGGAAATTCGAGACATTGTCAGTATTTCTGTTTTTTGTACTATCTAGCTATATCTATAAAATTAATGTATCTACAGTATATAACTTTATACATACTGAACAAAAATATAAACGCAACATGTAAAGTGTTGGTCCCATGTTTCATGAGCTGAAATAAAATATCCCAGAAATGTTCCATATGCACAAAAATATAATTTCTCTCAATGTTGTGCACAAATTTGTTTACATCCCTGTTAGTGAGTATTTCTCCTTTGCCAAGTTAATCCATCCACCTGACAGGTGTGGCATATCAAGAAGATGATTAAATAGCATGATCATTACACGGGTGCACCTTGTGCTGGGGACAATAAAAGGCCACTCTAAAATGTGCAATTTTGTCACACAACACAATGCCACAGATGTCTCAAGTTTTGAGGGAGCATGCAATTCACCTGCTGACTGCAGGAATGTCCACCAGTGCTCTTGCCAGAGAATTTAAAGTTGTTTTAGAGAATTTGGCAATACGTCCATGGGTGTCACGATCGTCTAAGGAGGAGGACCAATGCGCAGCGTTGAAGGTGAACATATTTATTTCGAGAATGATCACACGATCAAAACAACAGACGAAAACGTGATGTCTACGGTTGAACACAAACCAAATAAGAACAAGAAACCACAAACACAAAGGGAAAGATAGACAGTTTAAATATGGCTCCCAATCAGAGACAACCAGCTGACACTCGTTGCCTCTGATTGGGAGTCACTCAGGCCAACATAGAAATACAAACTAGAACATAAACAAATGAACACTCACACCCTGGCTCAACATACTAGAGTCCCCAGAGCCAGGGCGTGACAGTACCCCCCCCTAAAGGCGCGGACTCCGACCGCGCCAACCAAATACAACAGGGGAGGGACCGGGTGGGCACCTTCTCTAACCCCCCAAAGTACCCCTGGTCCGGTCTGGCCCTGCTGACCAGAGCTGAACTGAACACAGGTGGAGCGGATTGCTCTAGCTCCGGCGTGACGCAGCACCTGACCGGTGCCGGACCCGCCACCGGTGGAACAGGCACGGGCCGTGCCGGACTGACGACGCACACCACTGGCTTGGTGTGGGGAGCAGGAGCGGGCCGAGCCGGGCTGACGAAACGCACCACTGACTTGGTGCGGGGAGCAGGAGCGGGCCGGACCGGGCTGACGAAGCGCACCACTGACTTGGTGCGGGGAGCAGGAACGGGCCGGACTGGGCTGGCGACGCGCACCACAGACTTGGTGCGGAGAGCAGGAACGGGCCGGACAGGGCTGACGAAAAGCACCACAGACTTGGTGCGGGGAGCAGGAATGGGCCGGACTGGGCTGGCGACGCGCACCACAGACTTGGTGCGGAGAGCAGGAACGGGCCGGACAGGGCTGACGAAACGCACCACTGACTTGGTGCGGGGAGCAGGAATGGGCCGGGCCGAGCTGGCGATGCGCACCGTAGACTTGGTGCGAGTGGCAGGAACAGGCCGGACCGTACTGGGAACACACACCACTGGCCTTACGTGGGGATCAGGAACAGGCCGGACCGGACTGGCAACACACGCCAGTACCTCTCGCCGTGCCTCTACATCCTCCATCCCCTCTTCGACCAGTGGCCCCTGTAACCTGGCGGCCTCCTCTGGCAACCCGCTGGGCCGCTCTATCGCGGCCTCCTGCTGGTCCGACGTCGTGAGCCCCCCCCTAAAAAATTTCTGGGAGTCTCTCTTCCCCGTGGGCCAGGCCTCGATAATTCTCGCCCAACTCTCGCTCCTCTGCTTCCAATCTCCGCCATTCAGCTCCTCATTCGGCTTGACCCAGTCAAAGCTCTTCCTCCACTGTTGCCAAGTCCACCCACTCTGCTCCTCACTAGGCTGCTTGGTCCAGTTCTGGTGGTTTCTTCTGTCACGATCGTCTAAGGAGGAGGACCAATGCGCAGCGTTTAAGATGAACATATTTATTTCGAGAATGATCACACGATCAAAACAACAGACGAAAACGTGATGTCTACGGTTGAACACAAACCAAATAAGAACAAGAAACCACAAACACAAAGGGAAAGATAGACAGTTTAAATATGGCTCCCAATCAGAGACAACCAGCTGACACTCGTTGCCTCTGATTGGGAGTCACTCAGGCCAACATAGAAATACAAACTAGAACATAAACAAATGAACACTCACACCCTGGCTCAACATACTAGAGTCCCCAGAGCCAGGGCGTGACAGTGGGCCTATGCCCTCCCAGGCCCACCCATGGCTGCTCCCCTGCCCAGTCATGTGAAATCCATAGATTAGGGCCTAAATAATTTATTTAAATGGACTGTTTTCGTTATATGAACTGTAACTCAGTAAAATTGTTGAAATTGTGTGTTTATATTTTTTTGTGTATTAGACCCAAACAAAAACAGAGTCTCTCTCCCTCCCTCTCTCTCTCCCTCTTTCCATCTCTCAGTGGAGGAGGACCCCGAGGGGAGTTCTAGGTCGGGCCGAGACTCCATGTCCACATCCACAGACCTGACCCTGCCACCCGGCAACGCCGTAACCATGGAGAGACAGGTGAATGGCAACGGCACCGCCACCAAAGACGATCAAAAGAGGGAGAAGAGCGTGAGGGACAAGAAGAAGCCTGAGAGAGATAAAGAAAAGGAGAAAGAAAAAGAGAAAAACAAAGCCAAGAAAGGGTTGCTGCTGAAGGGCCTGGGAGATATGTTCAGGTAAGGACCCTTTACCCTCCAGACCCAATCAAAACTCTTCTTCTGTTCATTTATTCAGTAAGCATTCTAGAGCATGACTGGAGCACTCCGGAGCATTCTGGAATCAGAAGACAGAATGTGTTCTCTCTGTGATTGGTATTGGAACTAATGGTGGTGACCCTCACCTTAAACCCTGCTGGGGTTAATGTCCAGGCAGCCAGGCCTCTGGCACATCTCAAATAAGGAAAGGATGTTTTATTCAGTATAATACCCACCTAAACACATTCTCTATTTGTTAAACCAGTGGAGATTGCACTGTACCCAGCCTGAGTACTAATGGTAATATGTGATTGGGTCTTATTAGAACAAAGGATAAAAAGCTTGAGAAGATTATGAACTTGATTTCATTAGAATCACTTTGCATGTATTTCAGATGCCCAGGGGTATTGTGTTGTGAGTCATCTGTTGCTGTGCAGTCCTAGTTTGTGGCCTACAGTGTCAGGCTAATGGTGTGAAATGGGTAGAGGTCACTGTGCTCTTGTTGGTCACCCATTACTCTTTTTGTGTGACCAGTAAACATTCCCCCAGAGGTGGTTAGCTTCTATAAAATGCTTCTTGCATTTGGTGTATAGAGCTTCTCACTGAAACAGTACAGCAGGCCCTGGGGCTGTATGTATCAGCGTCTCAGAGTAGGAGTGCTGACTTTGGCCTTTTAGATCACAATGAATAAGATTACATCAACAGTAAGGACCTGATCCTAGATCAGCACTCCTACTCTGATAAAATTCCTAATGCAAAAACTACAATGTGATCAACACTAACCACTAATGTATGGAGTTGTGAATCTGATCGTATCATCTACAGTAAGCTCACCCTCATGAGGTGGGGGATGGGGGGTGGTGAGGGTGTATCCTACCAAGGGTGAACCCTACACCCTTAGGGGGTTCAGACAGCAAAGGGTCCAATTGTGAATGTTAGGGGCACATCTCCCGCCGCTGCCGTGAGGCTAATCAAACAGAAACCACAATTATTTAGATTTTATGCTAATTTGAATCTAGCATAAATGAGGGTGCTCACAAACACACACAAACACACACACGTCTGTTATCATGCAATAAATTGTTTTCCTGCGGATTATCTTAATGGGATTAGCTAGCGTATCACTGTGCACAGCTCCATAATTAACAATAAAACGACAAGTGTTTTGAGGTCATGATTCAGGAATTCAGAAAGGTTGCTTATCTGGTGGAGATTATTTTATAATTACACAGAGGCACAAGCTCACTAGTGCACACACACATATACGCACGTGTCATGCGTCAGTGTGTGGTGGTAGGACGGAGTAAGGTGCAGGACACAGAACTTAGTCAACGATGTACTTTACTTGTCACAAGTAAATAAACATATATTCCACGCAGGGAAGAAAATACAACAAATGTCAATGACAACAAAACAACGAACAATCACGCACAACACCATGAGGGAACCAGATGGTAAAATAGGGAAGCAAATTATTGTAATTGGAACCAGGTGTGTGCAATATAGACAAAACAAGTAGAACACAGAAACATAGATTGGTGGCAGCTAGTACTCCGGTGACGACGAACGCCGAAGCCTGCCCGAGCAAGGAGGAGGATCAGCCTCGGCTGAATTCCTGACAGTACCCCCCCCTTGACGCGCGGCACTAGCCGTGCGCCGACATCGGCCTCGGGGACGGCGGAACATCCCACACCTCAGACTCCTGGAGCGGACCAGCTACCACCGGCCTGAGGAGAGACATTACGGTAATCAGGAGGGAGCTGTAACCTATAACAAACCTTGTTCAATCTCCTCAGGACTTTAAATGGCCCCACAAACTGCCGACCCAGCTTCTGGCAGGGCAGGCGAAGGGGCAGGTTTTGGGTCGAGAGCCAGACCCGGTCCCCCGGTGCATACACCGGGGCCTCACTGCGGTGGCGGTCGGCGCTCGCCTTCTGTCACCTGATAGCCCGTTGCAGGCGTACATGGGCAGCATTCCAGGTTTCCTCCGAGCGCCGAAACCATTCATCCACCGCAGGTGCCTCGATCTGGCTCTGATGCCATGGTGCCAGGACCGGCTGATAACCTAGTACACACTGAAATGGAGACAGGTTAGTGGAGGAGTCGCGGAGGGAGTTTTGGGCCATCCAAGCCCAGGGGATGTAAACCAACCAATCCCCCGGCCGGTCCTGACAATAGGACCTCAGAAACCTACCCACATCCTGGTTTACTCTCTCCACCTGCCCATTACTCTCGGGGTGAAACGCAGTCTGTAGGGCTGTAGGGAGACCGGGCAAAGGAATGAGATGGAAGGACTTAGAAAACCGATCCACAATGACTAAGATCGTGGTATTCCCTTGTGACGGGGGGAGGTCCGTAACGAAATCCACCGATAGGTGTGACCACGGCCATTGTGGAACGGGTAGGGGTTGTAATTTCCCTCTGGGCAGGTGTCTAGGTGCCTTGCACTGGGTGCACACCGAGCAGGAGGAAACATAAACCCTCACGTCCTTAGCTAAAGTAGGCCACCAGTACTGCCCACTAAGACAGCGCACTGTCCGACCGATGCCAGGATGACCAGAAGAGGGTGACGTATGAGCCCAATAGATCAATCGATCGTGAACATCAGACGGAACGTACACACGACCCACTGGACACTGGGGGGAGTGGGCTCCGTGGGTAACGCCCGCCTGATGTCCGCGTCAACCTCCCATACCACCAGTGCCACCAGACAAGAAGCCGGAAGTATGGGAGTGGGGCTCCCTGGACCGCTCCTCTGTGTCATACAGCCGGGACATAGCGTCTGCCTTAGCATTCTGGGAACCTGGTCTGTACGAGAGGGTGAAAACAAAACGTGTGAAAAACATGGCCCACCTTGCCTGGCGAGGGTTCAGTCTCCTCGCCGCCTGGATGTACTCCAGATTGCGGTGGTCAGTCCAAATGAGGAAAGGGTGTTTTTCCCCCTCAAGCCAATGTCTCCACGCCTTCAGAGCCTTAACAACAGCTAACAGCTCCCGGTCCCCCACATCATAGTTATACTCCGCCGGACTGAGCTTCTTCTAAAAGAAAGCACAGGGGCGGAGCTTTGGTGGCGTACCCGAGCGCTGAGACAGTACAGCTCCTATCCCAGCCTCAGACGCATCCACCTCGACTATGAATGCCAAGGAGGGATCCGGATGAGCCAGCACGGGAGCCGAGGTGAACAGAGCCTTCAGGTGACCAAAAGCCCTGTCCGCCTCAGCTGAACACTGCAGGCGCACCGGTCCCCCCTTCAGCAAGGAGGTAATGGGAGCCGCTACCTGAACAAAGCCCCAGATAAACCTCTGGTAGTAGTTGGCAAACCCTAAGAATCGCTGCACTTCCTTAACCGTGGTTGGAGTCGGCCAATTACGCACAGCTGAAATGCGGTCATTTTCCATCTCCACCCCTGACGCGGACAGGCGGTAGCCTAAGAAGGAGACGGACTGTTGAAAGAACAGACATTTCTCAGCCTTGACGTACAGGTCATGTTCCAACAGTCGACCAAGCACCTTGCGCACCAGGGACACATGCTCGGCTCGTGTAGCGGAGTATATGAGAATATCATCTATATAAACCACTACACCCTGTTCGTGCAGGTCCCTGAAAATCTGATCGACAAAGGATTGGAAGACTGAGGGAGCATTTATCAACCCGTACGTCATGACGATGTACTCATAGTGCCCAGAGGTGGTACTAAATGCCTTCTTCCACTCATCCCCTTCCTGGATACGCACCAGGTTGTACGCGCTCCTGAGATCCAATTTGGTGAAGAAGTGCGCCCCGTGCAATGACTCCGTCATACTAGCAATGAGAGGTCTTCGGATGGGGCCACAGTGTCTCCGGACCGCTCCTGTCTCAGCCTCCAGTATTTATGCTGCAGTAGTTTATGTGTCGGGGGGCTGGGGTTAGTTGGTTATACCTGGAGTACTTCTCCTGTCTTATCCAGTGTCCTGTGTGAATTTAAGTATGCTCTCTCTAATTCTCTCGTTCTCTCTTTCTCTCTGAGAACCTGAGCCCTAGGACCATACGTCAGGACTACCGGGCATGATGACACCTTGCTGTCCCCAGTCCGCCTGGCCTTGCTGCTATTCCAGTTTCAACTGTTCTGCCTGCGTCTACGAAACCCCTACCTGTCCCAGACCTGCTGTTTTCAACTCTTAATGATCGGCTATGAAAAGCCAACTGAGAGACCTGAGCCCTAGGACCATACGTCGGGACTACCGGCCGTGGTGACTCCTTGCTGTCCCCAGTCCGCCTGGCCTTGCTGCTATTCCAGTTTCAACTGTTCTGCCTGCGGTTATGGAACCCCTACCTGTCCCAGACCTGCTGTTTTCAACTCTTAATGATCGGCTATGAAAAGCCAACTGAGATTTATTCCTGATTATTATTTGACCGTGCTTGTCACTTATGAACATTTTTGAACATCTTGGCATGGTTCTGTTATAATCTCCACCCGGCACAGCCAGAAGAGGACTGGCCACCCCTCATAGCCTGGTTCCTCTCTAGGTTTCTTCCTAGGTTTTCGCCTTTCTAGGGAGTTTTTCCTAGCCACCGTGCTTCTACACCTGCATTACTAGCTGTTTGGGGTTTTAGGCTGGGTTTCTGTACAGCACTTCGAGATATTAGCTGATGTAAGAAGGGCTATATAAAATAAAATTGATTGATTGATTGAGTGGATAACTGTACTTCACCGTTATCTGATTGAGACCTCGATAGTCAATGCACTGGCGTAAACCTCCATCCTTCTTCTTCACAAAAAAGAAATTTGAGGAGGCAGGGGAAGTGGAAGGCTGAATGTATCCCTGTCCCAGAGATTCAGAGACATATGTTTCCATAGCCGCCATCTCTTCCTGTGACAGAGGATACACGTGACTTCGAGGAAGTGCAGCGCCCTCCCAGAGATTTATCGCACAATCCCCCTGTCGATGTGGTGGTAATTGAGTTGCCTTCCTTTTACAGAAGGTGAGAGCCAAATCGGCATATTCG